CTGGCAACAGAAAGCTACTTTATACATTCTTTGATGTCCCGCTTCTAGCAGGTTAATCAGACCCACCTCAAACTTGCTGGTCTAAGTCCTTAGACCTTGATGATGCTTAAAAATGAAGCTTTTTAGTTTTCATCAAACGCTGTCACCGTGGCGCCGCCTTGTTCGCCATCAAACACGATGTTGTTTTGAAGGGACAAGGGATGCTTGAAAACTCACCAAACGTGGCATACACATCACAGGTCACAAGTCCTGTTGTCTGATGTGATTTTTGTGCTTTGATGCACCAAGATGGCTCAACAGCGCCCCCTAGAATATTTCAATTAAGCAGCCCCCAAAGCTGCTTTGACCTGCATGTATGAAACTTGGTGGGCACCTGTAACACTCTATTACATACAAAAAAGTCTCTTGGAGCGATGCTCCAAACCCAACAGGAAGTCCGCCATTTTGAATTTACTTGTGCCACTTTTGTGCATTTTTGCCCATTTCCAGGGCTTGTAAATTAACGAACTTGTCCTACAGATTTAATCAGATTGGCTCCAAACTTGGTGTATGTACGTGACTACGTTGTGACCAAAAGTTATCACAGGATTTGCCCAATGTTGAATGGCGCGCCTGCTGTTAAGCATTGAATCTTGAGGTCTCGCCATAAAAAACAAAATTGCTGTAGCTTTGGCATAAATGGTCGTGTCTCCACCAAACTTCACGATTCATATTAGTCCCGCCATGAACACATTTTCATTACCATATTGCCTGATACTCATAGATCCACCTAGTGGCGACAGGAAGTAGGTCTCATCAAACACTTATCTTTTGATTTATATGAAAATTACATACTGTGGTGTATATTTGATGTACAAAAACATGATGTATAATTAGTGCTCTCTCCAACTCCCTCTAGTGGAAAGAGGAAGTGATACAAAATGTGAAATATGTTATTCCAGCACTGTATCAAGAATATGCAGAGTCACTCCTGCATGCGATATCTAACTTTGTTGCGTGAAGGTGCGAGGGCCCGTTCATCACTGCTTGCAGCTTTAATATTGTACTTGGTTTTTATTGTAAAGTGTATTGAGACCATGTACCATGGTGATTTTGCACTTTAAATAAATTGATTGATTGATTGATTGATTGATTGGTTGATTGTTGAACCCTGTGGAGCCCTGCAGAACCCTGTGGAGCCTTGTGGAAAACCTCCACTGTATGTGTGTGTGTGTGTGTGTGTGTGTGTGTGTACAGGGCCCTGTTTCAAAAAGCAGGCTCAACAAACTCTGAACCTGATCTCTGATCCTGATCAGGCCCAGTCAGCCTGAGGGAAGCTGGTTCACAGTGAGCACCAACAGACATCATCAGCAGAGTGCAGATAACATGATTCTCAGAGTCAGGAAATGGAGTTAAAAGCAGAGCCACTGATTTCATCCAAAACTGAATCAGATTTGAAGACATGAAAAATCAATGTGCACCATCAGCTGAACAGAGTGAGGTGTGATGGGAACAGCCTGCAGAGCATGTTCATATGTGAAGTGATGTGATGTCATGTGATGAGGTCATGTGTCTAACATACAGAAACATGTTTCTATCTTAACAGTGTTCATATATTTATTCAGCTGTAATGTGATGGAGCCCAAACACACTGGGCACAAACTCAACATCAAACACACAGATATTAAGCACACTGGAACTGATCCTGACGTCATGATGATGTGGACACCAGGCTGATGGAGATATTATGGGATGTTGAGTCCCATCAATGAGCCAGTTCCATCTTTGAATATATGAGACGTCTTGATCAATGACCTCATCATGTGTCCAGGTAGATTCATTAACACTGACACACCTGCAGCTCTGTGGAATTCCTCTGTGATGATCCGCTCTGATTTGAACAGGCCACTTTTAAAGATGGGGAGAGTGTCGGTGAACCAAAATTCAAAATCTCATGGAGCAAAGTCCATAAGCGGTTCACAGCAAGACCAGTAGCTGTTGAGAGGGACTGTGGCTACATGATGGCTATAGTGTCAGATCCAAAGCAGGGTACAGACATGAGAGTGAACCAAACCCAAACCATGGCTCCAGAACAGAGACCATCCACATCACAGACCATTTTTCAAATGCAGCAGTTTTCATGTTTCAAGTAGGCCTAGTTGTGTCATCACACACAGATGCACACACCACTGTTGTTCAAAGTAACAATAACTTTAATTTTAAATTCTAGTTGAGGTCAGTGTTTTCAAGGATAATAAATATTTCACAAATGGCATAAACAGTGTAAAGAAATACATCCTCATCAGATTTACAACATTTACAGAACAGATGCTGAACAGTCTGATATGTCTGAAGAAGATGTCTTAGTCAGCCTACAGTCATCACATGCACATTTCCCCAGGCATTTCCACTTGTGTGTATTAATACTGGCATCACCACACCAACTGCAGTGGAAGCTGTTGATGAAGTAGGTTAACTTATTCGCTGCTTTACAAACTATTTACAAATCAAAAGTTTTGATTTAGCAATAAGATTCCACCAATTTTATTTTAAGATACAAGTTTGATATAGATTCCTTTGCACAGTGTTCAATATATTTTAATATGACCACAATAAGAACTGTATTGTGCTCAGGGTGAAATGCTACCTCTTACAGGCCTGGACGCACCAAACGACTGTTGGGTCACCTCATGTGACCTGTGTCTCAGCCAAAGGTTGCACATGAACACGCCACAAAGACTACAGCCGACAGCCAACGGGTGAGTTTCTTATCAAAATCGTCTTATTAAAAATTTGAAGCAACTGGAGTTGATACTACGGCGGCCGAGACGTACATAAAAGGCTTTTCTCGCAGCACTGGCCGCGCTGGAAATAGAGCAGTGGGCTGAAGCAGAGTGGTGCAGCGTGTCGGCCGGCGCCGGTGTGGGTTTGTTTATAGAATATAATGGAGGCGGGCGTTTTGACGCGCAGCGTATGGCGGCGGTGTGTGTTGCACTTTACAGATTATTGCAGACTATTTACCAAATCGCCATCTTTAAACAGGAAACAAGTGGACATACAGTTAAGGTATTGATATTTTATTGTTTGTTCAATTTTTGTTTCCTCTTCAGGGAGGTATTTTTATAAGCCCATTTGGGTTTTCAACCTCTCCGGCACTTAATGTTATTGTTTTGTCTCTGTTTCTATAATTGTTATTGTTTTTTATGCAAATAAATAAACTCTCTAAACTCTAAACAAGTGGACATGAATTGCTGCAGACACTGAAGACTGCTACAATCTTCAACTGAAAGGTATAGGGTTAGCTCATAGGTTCACAGAAAACATCCCAGTAACTAACATTACTTTGCGAGCGTGTGTTTAGCAGCTAGCTACGGTAACTAGAATATTCACTGGGGTTTGCTCAGACTGAGTTTACCACTATGGCAGATGCTAAACTCTGAAATTATTAACACTAGAATACGTTTAATCATACAATGATGATATGAGCCATATGGTGACCTTGAACAGCTGCTGACAAAGCAGAGCTCTTTACAACAAACACTGGTTGGCTTGGCTGCTGTAGCCGGCCAGGTGCCGCACAGACTCTGCCTCCTCGCCTCTCCGATCTTCTTCGTTTTGATGACTGTGTTCACTGTGGACCTCCTCACTAACGTTGCACTCAGGTTCAAATTGAAAAGGCTGAACAGGTGACATGTTTTTACTGCCGTATAGTCAAGAGAATGGGATGAAAGGCCAGTGCAACCATCTGACGTCACTACCCAGACTGCATTGCGGTGTAAACAACAATGACGGCCAACAAGAGAAAAAACTGTTTCAAATTTAATAAAAAATAATACATCTACAGTGTTTTTAAAATTACCTTCACATAGCTGATGCCAATCTAGTAAAGACTATAAGTCTTCATAGTCGGGGTTCCTGTTAATACTGACACACCTGCAGCTCTGTGGAAATCGTCTGTGATGATCTCTTCTGATTTATATCCAGAGAAAACCACTGAAACAGCTCAAAGTCTTTTCAGAGCCAGAGACACTTTTCTTACGGGCTGACAAACTGCTGTCTCTCCTCAGATGATGATGTGTAATATATGATATATGTGGGTGGAACAGACTATTATAAATGATAGTGTGAGGTCAAACAGTATCTTTCATATAGACAGTCCTCCAGGAACCACAAGACGTCACCTTCTCCTTACACAATAGGCCCTAAATCATTTCTGACTCAACCTCCACCACTTCATTCACTAAAGGACACGCCATGTTTCTACTTCCTGCTACACGCTCAGGAGTATGTTGCCATAGTAACTGACTGAGAGTTACACTGATCCTGGTTTCTGATGTTTGTGAAGAATTACAGCGGAGACATTTCCTGGACAGTTTGAAGCTTTAATCATTTTGTCTTCACTGCAAGCAACAACCATCATCATCATCATCATCATCATCTGCCATAATCATCACCCTCAAACATTCACATCAACCACACAGCTGATGACTCTGACATTCATCCACCAGTCACGATGTCTGGTCTTAGCAACAGTTTGACATCGAGTGAAAACAACTTCTGAAGTTGGCGATTAAAAGTGAATCATAAAAACACTCGTTTATTAGAATTCATACAAAAAACACCACAAAATGATCACGTTAGAAATAAAGATGTTAAAGAAAGACGTCAAAGACGTTAAACAAAGAAATAACGAAATAAAACTACTGCGGGACAAAAAGCTGCAGATTAATAAATTCATTAATAACTTTAACTTTTCTCAGTAAATCTATCGACTGACTTGACATCTATTTTCAAACACTTGAGATTTTGTCATCTGGAACTTCCCGTTGTTGTTGTTTAAAGAAACTGAATCTATTTCCTGTTTACAGCTTTGTTTACTTCACAACAGCACTGATGTCTGGACCTGTGAAGATTGGACTGATTGGTTTTGTTGCATCAGTGATGTTCTAACTTCCACTGTGACTGTGACGTCATAACATCTGACATGATATCATAGTGTCCACTGTGATGTCACATTTTGTTCCAGATGTAAAATGAAAGTCGTGTGTTCAGCTGTCAGACGATGTGAATGGACAGGAAGTCTGAAGACATGTCAGTAGTCACGCCATCACTGCGTACGCATCACACTGAGTCACAGCTGCTGCAACGTCGACTGTTTCACCTCAGTTAGTTTATACGGACAAAGTTTATCATGTCGCAGCTTTTCGTTTTTAATTACCTGTAAATTATCATAATAATGATAATAATAATAATAATAATAATAATAATAATATAATAATCAGGAGGGGTAAGAAGTTCTTTCTCAGACCTGTTGTTTTTCCATAATCCTGCTGACCAACAAACAAACAAACAAACAAGCAGAACTGAAACTATAACCTCCTCTCTGGATCAAACGTGGTGAGAAATTCAAGTTCATTTTTTGTTGTTTTCTATCCTGTAATTTTATCATGTTGACCTGTTGTCCTTCTGTCTTTCTGTCCATCTGTCCTTCTTGACGATGGACCCCTCCCCAGGTTTATTTCATTTCTCCCTGTTGAAGGGTTTTTGGGAATTTTTTTCTTTGTCTGCAGGGAAAGTCTGAGGACAGACAGGTCTGAGGGTCTGATGACAGACATGTCTGAGTGTCTGAGGACAGACAGTTCTGAGGGTCTGAGGACAGACAGATCTGAGGACAGACAGGTCTGAGGGTCTGAGGACAGACATGTCTGAGGGTCTGAGGACTCGATTTTAATTATTAGAAAATAATAGAAAATAAAATACAGAATCTGATGAATGACAAGCTTCACCCGTCACCATGGTTACTGATCACATCACTGTCAGTCATGTGATCAAACTCAACAACCAAGAAAACTGTTTGTCTCATCAGATTCAAATGTCGTTTTTAACCAGGCGTGGTTCATCTGTTGACTCTCTGCCTTCTGATTGGCTGTCTGCTCTGTCAGTCATCACTGATGCTCCTCTGAATGACGTGTGTGTGTGTGTGTGTGTGTGTGTGGGGTCAGAAGTGGGCTGAGTCTCGTCTGTGACTGATTAAAGAGTTGAGCAGGTTGGTATCAAACTGTCAGACTGAATAACGTCACGTGATTGGTCATCTAAAACCTTCAGCCTGACTGATAAACACTTACAACAGGTAAGAGTCACCTGGTCTGAGATCATCACAGGTCACTGATGACATCATCATAACTGAAGTACGAGTGTACAGAGTGTCTGAACTGAATTCATCCCACAGGAAATGAGACATAGATTTTCAGAATAAGAGCATGTTGAGTCATCGATGGTTCAGGCTTGCCGTCTGCTGTGACGTGTCACTGAGTCTTTACTGCCAGGTTTGTCCAACGCTCCTCCGACAGGTGAGTTCCCACAGTGTAGAGCACAAACATGTTTAACAGCAACTGTCATCACACCACTGACTCCCTCAGGTTCTCATTTTGTACAGACTCAGAGGTGTTTAAGGGAGGCGCAGCATGGAGGAGAAACTCACTCTGAAGCTCCACCCGGGAGGGACGTACCTCACCCGAGGCACCTGAGACAGGCTCATCTGTCTCCTGGCTGTCTCCGTACAGCTGACTGATTCGTTTACAGAGAAGTCCTCCTGTCTCAGGCGGCGAGACATCTCGCTGCCCCTCCTTCTCTCTGTATTTGTAGGATGCCAGTTTGACTGTCCGCTGCAGAAGATGTTTCCTGTACGCTCTCTGGATCACTGTTGCCGCCACTTCTTCCTGTTTCCTCCGCAGAGTGCTGCTGATTGGTTCATATGACACCTGCAGGTAAGAATCATCATCACCTGTGACTTCAGAAAACTTTGAGAAATTATCAACAACATCAGTTTGTTTTTATGTCAACAAATACGATAAGGATGACATGACGTGATGACACGAGACAAGAAGAGAAGGGACAAGACATTGTGACGTGACAAGATGAGACGAGACGATATGAGATGAGATGTGACGAGACATGATGACGTGACGAGATGAGATGTGACGAGACGAGATGAGACAAGACAAGATGAGACGAGTTGAGACAAGATGTGATGTGATAACATGACAAGATGAGCAACAAGACCAGACAAGATGAGACAAGACATGATGATGTAACGAGATGAGACGAGACAAGATGAGACAAGAGGAGACGAAACGAGAGGAGACATGATGACGTGATGCGACGAGACGAGACATGACAATGACATGACATTATGATGACACAAGTGTAACCTTGGAAGGATTGTTGGCCATGAACTTCTCCTCCATGCTGGCCTTCAGAGTGTCCATCTCTCCTGAATCACCTAAAACCTGCAGATAGATGATTCAGTAAGATTTAATGAGATACGATGAAACATCACGATACTATAAAATATAACGAGATATAAATGTAGAATAAGTGATGAAGCTGAGGTGAGCAGGTGATGATGTTACCTGTGCCGTGAGCGCCAGCAGGATGTCCAGACAGTGGATTTTGTCTCCAGGAACCAGAGGTAGATCCATGTGGATCAGTCGGATGGTGTTGGGTTTGGGGATCCTCAGAGGATCCTTCAGAGCGTCGCAGAAATCTGACAGCTTACTGTGGAACACATGACAACCCGTTAGAGTTCTTAGGAGAACACACCAGAGTCAGACAGAAGGACACGCAGGTGGGACTCACCTGTATTGGATGAACTGGGAGGCGTCGGGGTCAAACTTCTCCCAGGTTTCATAAAACATCTCAAAGTCATCCTCACACAGCGGGTCAGCGCTCTCCTCTGTCGCCACATTGAAGTTCTCCAGGATGATGGCGATGTACATGTTGACCACCACCAGGAAGGACATGATGATGTAGGTGGTGAAGAAGATGATGCCGATGCCCGGGCTGCCGCAGTCCCCTCTGACCAGCGATCCAGGGTTTTCTAAGTCAGGGTCACAGTCCGGCGGCGTGTTCATGATGGGATTCAGCAGACCGTCCCATCCGGCTGACGTGGTAATCATAAACAAGCAGATCATGCTGTTCCCAAACGTCTCAAAGTTAAACATGTCATCGATCATGGCCTCCTTCCTCACGTACGCAAAGTTCGACATGCCGAAGATGGAGAAGATAAACATGATGAGGAAGAGGAGGAGGCCAATGTTGAAGAGGGCAGGAAGTGACATCATCAGGGCGAACAGCAGTGTCCGGATCCCCTTTGCTCCACGAATGAGTCGAAGGACTCGACCGATACGAGCCAATCGGATTACACGGAAGAGTGTGGGCGAGACGAAATACTTCTCTATGATGTCAGCAAGGAGAAGGCCTGAAGGGAAGGAGGGAAGAAAAGGAAAGGAAAAGGGAAAGGAAAGACAGAACTGTATTTGCATCTAGTTTCCTTCTGAGGTCAAAGAAAAAAAAACTGATCATAAAAAGAGGAAACAGAAAAAAATACTCACTTCATCTTTGATTAAAATTTAAAACTTAATTTCTTTAAATTTTAGATTAGATTTCTGATGTTCTGAATGAACGATAAGACGATTACATCAGCAGACAACGTTTTACTGATTTACCGACTCACCTACGATGGACAGGATGACGACCACAAAGTCAAAGATGTTCCAGCCGACAGCGAAGTAGTGCTGCCTGAGTGCAGTCAACTTGAGAACGCACTCTGAGGTGAAGATGATGATGAAGACAAGGTTGACCCAATAGAGAATGATTTCTTTCTCCTGGCTCTGCTCATCTGTCTCCACCATCATGGTCACCATGTTGAGACAGATCAACACCATGATGAAGATGTCGAAGAACTGTGTGGTGACCAGGTCAAAGACCAGACCCTGGAACTTATTCTGTCGGACAAAAAGAGAAGAAACACCTGAGCTCACCTGACCGCTCTGAATCACGTCAGACAGGAAGTACGTGACCTGACCTCAGGGCGGGGAACAGGTTTCTGAGGTTTCTTTGAGCCCAGTTTCTTCATGGCGTTGTAATATTTCTTCTGCTCCTCCGTCATGAAAATATCTTTTCCTCCCAAGTGAAGAAAAAAAAAGACAACAACCATTAACTCACAGATGAAAAGAAAGTGCTCAAAGTGTATTATCTCGACCCCTCTGCTGAAAATCAAGTCTTTATTAAATGTATTATCTCCTCCCCTCTGCTGAAAATCAGTTTTTTATTAAATTTATTATCTCGACCACTCTGCTGAAAATCAATTCTTTATTAAATTTATTATCTCGACCCCTCTGCTGAAAATCAAGTCTTTATTAAATTTATTATCTCCTCCTCTCTGCTGAAAATCAATTCTTTATTAAATTTATTATCTCGATCCCTCTGCTGAAAATAAAGTCTCTGTTAATGTGATAATGTTTTTATCTAGCAGACGCATCATGGGTGAAATAAACAGTCAACACAGTGGCAAAACATTTCCACTTTGGAAATGTCAAAAACACGGTACATGAACCTGTACCTGTATTGAACCTTTCAAACTCTTAAACACTATACGTGTTAAATTCACACGCTGGTGGCCGAGGTGACCCTAGGAGGTACCACCCGTTTAAACAGCCATCAGGAGAGATGTGGTGATCAGTATTTTACCCAAAGACACTTCAACATACAGACTGGAGGATCAAACCTCCGGTCTTCTGATTAGTGGACGACCCGCTGTACCTCCTGCGCCACAGACGGATTAAGACAGCTGGGGTTTATGATGTCACATATCTAAGGAACCAATCCTGTCAGTGTGGAGCTTTTCATTAGCATGACGCTACGACGAATCGAGGGGTGTCAGGAAAATCTGGGTGAAGCTGTGTATCAGCGAAATTTATTTCATCTTCACTACACTGTGAGACAAACAGTAACCATCCGAACAGAAAATAAGCAAAGCCTGATAAAGCTTATAGTTAGGGCTGGCTCAGGCTTGCCCTGTACCAGCCCCTAGTTAGGCTGACTTAGGCCTAGTCTGCCGGAGGACCCCCCTATAATACACCGGGCACCTTCTCTCCTTCTCTCTCTCTCTCTCTCGTATTCTATTACTGCATCTTGCTAACTCGGCCATTCTGGATGTCACTAACTCGGCTTCTTCTTCGGAGCCTTTGTGCTCCACTGTCTCTCAGATTAACTCATATCACAGCGGTGCCTGGACAGCGTGACGTGTGTGGTTGTGCTGCTGCCGTGGTCCTGCCAGATGCCTCCTGCTGCTGCTGCCATCATTAGTCATTAGTCATACTTCTACTGTTATTATACACATATGA